TTTTACTATGCTGTTTCGTGTTGTTATTAGCAATAGTAGTAGTAGTAGTAGTAGTCGTAGTAGTAGTAGTAGTAGTACGATTGTTGCTATTAGTATTACTCGTCTTCGTCTTATTATTCGTAGTAATATAACTGCCAGTAGTATTATTAGTACTCTCAGTCATTCGTCTTCGTAGTATGTTTCTTAATAACATTAGTACAGTAAAAGATTTATCATTCGTATAATGGTTAAAACTATTATTGATCTGAGCATGTATCGTCTTACTACAACTGTAGTTTCCATTATTATGATTAGTCGTATGCTGTTTATTATGTTATCAATATTCCCGTTGTGTTTAACATGATTATGGGTAGTATGATTATTCGTCTTACTAGTACTGTTCGTAATATTACTATTTTTACTATCAGTACGAGTAGCAGTCCTTCTCCTAGTCGTCGTAATCTTCCTCTGCTCATTATTATTATTCCGATCCGTATGCTCATTCTTCGTGGTATTAATTTTCGTTATTCGTATTATTCCTCCTCCTCCTCCTGCTTTTCCTCCTCCTCCTCCTCCTCTTCCTCCTCCTTTCCTCCTGTTATGTTTCTTCCTCCTCCTCCTCCTCCTCATCATCATCATCCTCCCCGTCCTCCTCCTCCTCCTCCTCCTCCTCCTTTTTTTCAAGCCTCCCACGAGCCGCCCCACGGCCTCCCAGGCCCTGGGCGAAACACCGAAGGGGGGGGGGGCGGGGGGGACGCACGCTCGAGCCGGCATCGCCCGAGCGGCGAACGGGGAAAAAGGTCTTGACGCGAAAGGACGCAGCGACCGCGGCTTCCGAGGGCCGCCAGCGTGACACACCGCGCGCGTCGCCCCGTTTGTTCAAGAGAGGCCATATGGTTGCGGAGGACATCTCGGTGTCTCGGTCTCTCGGTGTCTCGGTCGGTTGTGGCGGGCTCGGGGCATGGCGTTCCCCTGGCCAAGGTGATGCTGCGCCGCCTCCTGGACGAAGGCGGCCACGCGCGCGACCTTCCTTGTTCCGTCGGCGGCGGGGCGGACGCAGTCCGTTCCAGCGCGCGGCTATAGTCGGGGCAACCGAGAGGTTCCTTGCGCGGCCTGCGAAGGGGGAAGAAGAGGACGGGGGCGGCCGCGCGGGGGGGCCCGCGACCTTCCACGGGAAGCTTGCACTCGAATGTCCGCCCAATCGACCCTATTTTCTTCTGTCGCTCACCTGTAGAATCTATCCCGACGCTGCCACAAGGCAGTCATATCCCCCCCCCCAGCAACTCAAAAATGCACGTTGGAAGTGAAACGGCCCGCTGAAGACGCACAGCCGGTGCGACACAAAATCTCCTTGAACCGCATCGGCCCCACCGGTGAGAAGAGAAGAGGGGGCGAGGAGACGGAGAGGAAGGCAGAGGGGGGAGGGGGAGCGAGAAAGGTGGCAAGGGGGCTGGAACAACTACACCTTCTGTCGAATGCCCAGGTCAAAGTGGGATGGCATTTCGCACCTATGTTGCACCAATGTTCCAGTGCGTCAGCACACTTCTAGAAGTCGGGCGCCGGTTTACCACGGAAGTGGTCGGTTGCCTTGAACACTGCATACGTGACGACAGCTGCCAGGCTGAGTTCCTTGCCCCTGGCGCTGCCGAGGCAGGCAACTCTCCAAGCCAACATCCCAAAGTCTAGGAAATCCACATATGAGTCTCGCCACCAGGGGGCACGCAGCGCGATGCTCAATGCAATCCAGCGCAGAGCAGGAGCACCCCAAACAGCACCGCCCCACATACTGGAATCGGCGCGGCGTGCGCCAGCCATGCCACTGCGTCTTTCAACTCAGCGGCCACAACTCGCAGCGGTGCTAACAGGCTCAGCCTCTCGAAGACATTCGGCGCTCGGCGCGCGAGGCGGCCGACTAGAATGGGAAGGGGCCACCCGGCGAGCTTGCGGCGGGAGCGGGGCTCCACCTTCTTCAACCCAGACCGTTGCATCCGGATCGCTTCGCAAAGATCCCGCCGGCCACCGGACATCTGGAGGCCACTAAAGGTCGCGCAGCAAACAGCCCGGCGAACCAGCATGAGGAAATGGGGGGAACACCATGTCGACCACGCGTGCTTGCCCCGACGAGCCAGGACGAATTGCTAAGCTAAGGCAGCGTCATCCTGTATCACTGCGCCAGCCAGCGAAGCTCGGCGGCCCACGCGCAGTCCTAGAGACGTCGAAAATGACCTGGAGATGATATCAGCGACCTTGAAATATCCACATCTGCTGCCGTGCGCCACACGCCGGGCCCGGCCGCGAAATCCAATGGCGCCGCGGCTTCAGCTGCGGCCACTTCCCACGGGATCTCGATTGACCGCCACATGCACGAGGCACGGGGGCCACGCAAGCACTGCAGGCGCGAGCGTTAATTTGCACACCGAACCCAAGCCCTGAACACGGACGATCTCTTGTCGAATGCTTCGCCACTGCCGCGACACTTTCGGCCTCGCACCTCGCAGGGCCTACTTTGAAGCCCAAGTACGCGGCGCGCACTGCGCACTCCACTCCGGCCCATTCTGGCAGCGCGCCCTGCGCTGCACGCCGAAACTGGCGCGCTGAGGTTTCCCAGCGGGGCGACGGCAGTCTGCGCCGCGTTCAGGCGCGGACTGGAGAACGCAGCAAACCTACTGTACACGCGCAGACTAGTGGACGCATCTCGCCAGAAACTGCGCGTGATTAGTGCGCCGTCATCGGCGCATGCTCTGATCGTGATTTGCGGTGGCCGCTGACATGCGCGGCGCAGCAACACGTCAAGCCGCCAGCGCGGGAAGAAGGGGCGAGAGAGGGCACCCCGACGAACGCCGCGACCCATGGGGAATCCCTCCAGCAGTTGCCCCTTCAGCCTACGATTGCACACGTTGTCCGCATAGAGACATCGAACGATATTGCGCGCGAAAGGCGGGGTGCCGATGGCCCGGAGGGCAGCTGAATTAAAATCCTGGGAGAGACTGGGGAACGCAGCCTCGATGTCAAATAGCATGCGCGCAGCGTTCCTCTCCCCGAGGCCAGCCAACATGCCGCCGTGATCGATTTCGCAAGCGCTCCGAATTATAGGGCGCCCCTGGAGGAAGCCCCGCTACGTAGGAGACACAACTTTGTCGGCCAGCGGCCCCATCAGGTTCCTATGCGAGCTAGCGAACGACCTGTTGTCAGAGAAAATTAAAGACAGAGGCCTCGTCTTGCTGGCCATGGTAAAACACCCGAAAGCTGCGCGGGCTAACGTTTTTTCCCGGCGGCAACAAATCGCCGCCGTTTAAACTTGGCGGCGAGAGGTAAACCGTGGCACCATCCTGCAGTGAAACCGCGGCGTCGCATAAGATCGGAGCGGCGAGAGCTTCGACGTTTGTTCCACGCCCCGCGCGGGGTCCCATCTGGACCAGGGGAGGAGCCGCTGGCAGCGCGGATGGCATGAACAACGCGAGAGAGGCGCAATTGCCACTTCGAACTCTCGTCTGGCAATCCCTCACCAGCAAAAGACACGAAGCATAGGACATTCCATCCGCGCACGCGGTCTAAATCTACAGATCGACGGACAAAACAGCACCCCCAATGCGGTTGCAAATACGCTGCAATCTCAATTGCCCCAATCGCAAACCCCCGACAATCCTGCGAAACAAGAACCGAGACAGAAGGGCGCTCGCCTGGGAGAAGCCGCTGAGACTGCCGAAGGGCATGTTCCTTGCGGGACGTTCGCTCAACATCTGGCAAACTCTTCCGTCGTTCCCCCAGGGCCCCCCGCATCTCCAAAACGCCCTGCCGCGCCAGCCATACACGATGGCTGCGCAAGGCGGGCGCGGGCGCAAGGGGGGGGGGGGCAACGAGAGCGCGCAGAGGAGGGCAGCAGCGGAAGATGGAGAGCACGGTCCGCAGCCCCGCAATCAAGACCTGAGACGGCACACGGGAGCCCGAAGCTTCCCGTCAGCGCTGGCGGCCTCAAGAGCGACACTGGATCGCCGTAGTTTTTTTTTTCGACGGCCCGGCGCATGGCCACTTCCATGACGCAGAGCTCGTCAACCTGAGGGGCGCGAGGGGTGAGACTGCATTCTCTGTCATTTTCCTTCTGGACGTGCTCGGCAAAATCTGCGTGCTCCACATGGGCGGCCGAGGGTGGTCTGACACCCCCTTCTGCCAGACCGCCCGAAGACACGTCTCCTAGCACTAAAAAAGGCTTCTGATCAGACAAACGAAGTCGAGAGGCAATCTTGAGCATTCAATGCGTCGGAACAGCACCTCGAACTTATGCCGGTTGTCATAGATGAGATCAATGCGAGACTGAGCAATGCCACTATCACAATTGAAGCCCTCTTGCACCGATGCCTCCAGAGGGTACTAGGCACATGGGTCTGGAATGCAGCGGCTTCGGCACCGTCGGCGCGCCCGGACCATTGTCCAGGTAGGTTTTGCCAGCGGTCGCGTTTCTTCCCCGTGAAATTAAAACCGCCAGAGATCACAGAGGAGACGTTACAAGGTAAACTCGCTCAATAAGATTCAAGCCGTTGGCAAGGGCAGCCGAAGAGTGCGCATCCAAATGAAAACTTCCACGCGCCCAGACTGCCGCAACGACCGCGGACGCGCAGCAATGCAGCCCCGCCAGCACCCACCGCGCGAAACTGACGCGAGTCGACTTGGGAGAGAAACTTTCTAGAAACAGAAAAAGCGACCCCCGCGTGTGACCATATGAAATGAAAACGAAACGCACGGATGCCATTGATTGAATTCACTGAACGCGAGCTCCCGGCCTTCAGCGCCGTGGACCTCCTGGAGACCTACCTAATCAACTGTCGGGGCCAACCGCTGTACAAATTTATGCCCGCGGTGTTGCCTGCTTAGCTTGCTCGACAAAAAACGCTCGGGAGCTCCGAGAACATCTAGAAACGTCCCAAAGAAACGGGAGCAGAGAAGAAGAGCGGCGGGGGGGAGGCGGCGAGGAAAAAAGGAGGGAAAGAGATCGCACCCGCGGTTCAGTTAGGCGAAAAGGGGAGTCACTCGCGCAAGGCGCGAAGTACCTCCAGCTGCAAGTCCTTGCCCGTGCAAGGCCAGCCCATGCTCTCCGCGCTCTGGCAGTTGGTCTCCGCGCGGACAAGCACACCGTCGCCCTTCAGTTCGCCGATCCGCGTGTCGTTCACCATCAGCACCCCCATGCGAACGTCGAAGACGATAGATTAGTATGACACGCTGTTCTTCGCGAGGATGTGTTTGAGCATGGCCACATGACGGACCCTGGCACAAAATACTGGACCGCGATCAGGTCCTAGAGTGATCGGGGCGACCTTGTCCTGGAACTTGTCGGTGCTCCTGGCCGTCTTGAAGAAGTCCTGCATCGCGTCCTACTTTTTGACCCGGACTTCACCTCTCTCGCCCCATGCTCTTGCGGTGTATACCTTGCCGTCGACCTTGTGCGCATGTTCCCCCAATTCGCATTGATAAACTCGACGATGTTGCTCTCCTTGGTGGCCTTCGGGAAACCCTTGAAGATTGCCGTCCGCTCGAGCTGGTCAACACTATCCATGGGCATCGGGTTGTTGTCCCAATCGACCCACTTCAGAGGTTGTGCTCCCGGGCGCTCTGCGGTCTTTGCAGGTCCTTTTTGATTCATGGCTTGGGAGATCATCTTCGTAACGTCCTCCCTGCTGACCTTCTCCCCCCTGGGTTTCGCGATCTCGAATCTCGTAGCGACCACGCCCCCCTGAACCCCGCTAGCAAGAGACGCCACCCTGCGAATCATCTCTTGGTTCGCCGTGGGCTGCTCCGTTATGTCCCCGACCTGATCGTCGAAGCGTTTGGTGACCTCAGTCTTGACGCTGTTTGTCATCGTCGTCATGTGCGTCATCATGTGTCCATCATCGCCTGGATCTGACCAAGCGTAGGGGCCGCTTTCAAGTCCCCAGGAACAGATAACCCCCACGAAGCCGAAGGCGAACTGCCTGAAGCACTTCCCGCCGCCGCTGTGTCGGCATCCATCTTCTGACGCTTGGTCACCCGAGCCCTCACGTCCCTTGAAAGAGCCTCCTTCTTCGGAGATCCCTTTTTCCTCTCCCCTGCCATCACCGGCACCCGCTCCACGAATCAACACAAGCCCAGACTGAAACCCCAGTCGGAGCAATCCTTGGCGATTCCGGCGGAGAAGAGCACAGTGAAAAAAAGGTGAGTGTAGGATGGCTAGACCCCTAACCCCTTGAGCCAGAATGGCTGCCCCCGGGCTGTCCTGAACGCTGCCCCCTCGCGCGGCGACCCTGAGTCCAGGGACGCCGGCGCAAAATGCACAAGGCAGCGCAGTGCAGTGCCTGCTACAGCAGAGGTGTGCCCCTGCGATCGGCACACCTCAAAAGAGAACAGAAGTAAAGACCCGAACCCAGGACATACAGAAGCGGCCTACTCTCGAGCACGGCGGTCCAAGGCGCTGATACACGCGGGAAACAATAGCAGCGAACAGGCGACATGAGGCATCGGCCGCCTATCAGGCGATAGCTGAAGCTAACAAATGGTGTACTCTGAGGAAGAAGAAAAAGAAGAAGAAGAAGAAGAAGGAAAAACAAAAAACGCCATGAACATAACCTTTTGGCGCTCCGCGCGGATTCCTTGGATCTGCGCCGGACCACCCTCCCTGGCGCGCGGAGCGCGCCAGGGGCGGCGCCGGAGGCGCCGCCAGGGGGGCCCAGCGCGGATCCAAGAGATCCCCGCGGAGCGCCGAAGTGTATGCTTGTGGCGCCTGTTCTTCTTCGAATGCTGCCTTGGCCACCCGTCAGACAGCAGCGGGATTTCACGGGAGACCACGTGGCCCCCGCATCTTGGGACCCTCTTGGGCCGTCTTGAGGCCCTCTCGGGGGCCCGGGGCCTATTCAGCCGTCTAGGGTCCCGCTCCGCGACAGAAGGGGCAACATACATACGAATATGTATATATATATATATGTATATATGTATGTATGTATGTATGTATACATACATACATAACCGTTCGGAGCGCCGCCCGGACGTCCTGGATCGGCATCCACATAATTATGTCTGTCAGCCGACAGCTCCGCATCTTTACCGGCATTATATGCGTATATATATATATGTATATATATAGATGTGTGCGTGTGTGTGTGTGTGTCGGAGGTCCGAGTCTGAGCTGGTGTCTTGGATCGGCGCTGGACCAGCCTCCCTGGCACGCGGAGCTTCGGCGCGAACTCATGGGGGGCGATACATGGGGGGGGGAAGAAAGGTGCAATCCCACCAGCCCTCTGGGCGTAGGTGGTTTAGGAAGTTTCCTCTTCCATCTTCCCTCCTTCCCCTTCGGGGAGGGGTTTACCCCTCTCCCTAACCCCCTCCCCTGGACCTGGACGGGGGGTTCTGCGACGCGTTGGAGCGTCCAAGATGGCCCAAGACGGCTCCAAGAGGGCCTCGGAGAGGCCAAGATGACCTGCAAGATGCCTCGAGATAGCCCAAGATGCCTCAAGATGGCTCCCCAGGTGCTGCAAGAGGCCCCAAGATCGCCCCAAGACGACTCCAAGAGGCCTCCGAGACTTCCAAGGAGACCCCCCAAGAGGCCCAAATCCTTCAAAAACCTAAGGAAAACCAATGAATGTTGCTTTCTCGCCTTTTCGCTTCCGATGGCCTTCCGAGGCCTCAAGATGGCTCCAAGAGGGCCCAAGATAGCCCCAAGAGGGGCCGAAGAGAGCTTCAAGACGGCCCCAAGAGCGCCCAAGAGCGCCTCAAGATGAGCCCAAGAGGCGATTTTAGAGGATCTAGAAGGGCGGGGCTAATTAACCCCACCCTCTTCTTTGATCGATCGCCTCCAAGATGGCCCGAAGAGGCGCCGAGATGGCCCCAAGATGGCCCCAAGATGGCCCCAAGAGGTCCCCAAGAGGCTCCCCGAGGCACCCAAGACGCCCAAAGAGGCCTCCGGGACCGCCAAGACGCTCCCAAGACGTCCTAAGAGGCCTTCAGGACGCTCCCAAGAGACATCCGAAGAGACTCCGAGAGGCATCCAAGAGGCCTATGGCCATTCTGCTCGCCCTTCTCCTCATCCTCCTCCTCATTATCGTCCTGCTCCTCCTCCTCCTCCTCCTCCTCATCATCCGCCTAATGCTCCTCCTCCCTACTCCCTCCTCCCGCTCCCCCTCCTCCTCCTCCTTCAGTTCCTCCTCCTCCTCCTCATCCTCCTCCGATTCCTCCTCCATCCTCGCCGTCTTGGGTAAGACGGGTTCCCCAGCCCTTTGTTACTCTGTATGCTCCCTCACTTCCCTGATCACCTCCATTCGCCTGGGCATCGTTACTGGATGGGCTGGTGGGGATACTTTTTTTTTCAGCCGCAGGCGGAAGCGCGGGCGGCGAGCAGTCACGGTCGGGCTGCGGCCGCGACTAAATTCCCGGGCGCGCGCAGGGCCGCGGATGAGGCGGCAAGCAGCGGCAACCCAGGGCGTCTGAGAGGCCTGGCGGTCGTGCAATCCCAGGGAGTCTGAAAGGTCAGTCACCTGAGGCGGTCGTGCAAGCTGCAACCCAGGGAGTCTGAGAGGTCAGCCCTCCGGGCGAGCCGAGCGCAGCCAAAATGGCGCGCAGTGTGTCCCAGGCCGCAATCGTGTCGAGACAACCGCGAGGTAGGGAAAGGTGTCCGTGCGGGAAAGTCGACCAGGGAGTCTGACGGGCTGATACCTTCGGCGAGACGGAAGACTCGGGATCGGGGGACTCCGGCTGGCCTCACGGGGCCGTCAGGAATGCGTATGACGAGACCCAGCCTGAAACTTGACGAGAACTGAGCTGGACCGTCAAATTCCAGGACGGCCCCGTCCAAAGGCGCCGGCAAGCCCGAGTTCCGGCGAGCTCGAGTCTCACGTTTCCCCGATCCTTCTGCCGCCACCCTCCCTCCCATCCACACCGCTCGGAGGCCTCTCAGGCAGTCCCTGCGGATCCAGTCCAGCTCCGCCCGCTGGTTCTTCAGCACCATCGCCTGGCGCCCGCGGCCCCGGAGCCTCCGCGAAGAGCCGCCCGCACCCCCATCGCTACTCTCTGGGTCGCCTGACTTCGCCCATCGCGCCCGGCGGTGCGCGACGCGCAGCTCAGTGCGATCATCTGCGCGCCGCGGGGAGCGATCTCGCTCTTGCACTTCACCCCCCCCTGCGGGGCCTCGACCCCCTCGCCCCACTCCAGCGCAGCCAGGCATACTCCTGGTAGTGGGGCCCCCGTTCGAATCGCGAGATCGCGAGATCGCAAATCGGATCGCGCCGAATCGAATCGTCAGCGAATCGCCACGGACCGAATCGAAATCGGATCGCAGGTGGCCATGCCTGAACCCAGCAGGTCAGTAGGTGGAGGGGGCACAGAGGGGGAGGGGAGGCCAGGAGAACGACACGACGAGCGGTCTTCGAACACCCTCCAGCGGACCGACAGGAGCCTCCTCGTCCTCATCCTCCCCCTCCCCACCGTCCCTCTTGTCCTCCCTCCTCCTCCTCCTCCTCCTCCTCCTCCTCCTCCTCCTCCTCCTCCTCCTCCTGAGTTATCTCCCCCTCCTCCTCCTCCTCCTCCTCCTCCTCCTCCTCCCCCTCCTCCTCCTCCTCCTCCTCCTCCTCCTTCTCCTCCTCCTCTCTACTGGTGCTCCCTCCCCCCACCTCCTCCCTGCACACAACTCTCCCGCCTCCACGTCCTCCCTCCATCTCTGCTCCGGCGACGGCGGCAACGGCGGCCTGGCCGACCGCCATCGCGCGCGCGGCTTGGCCGCGCATCTGCTCGGCACGGGCCTCAACGCGCAGCCTCGACCAGCCTGGGGCTCGCCACGGGGGGGAGGAGGACAAGGAGGAGGAGGAGGAGGCTGCAGGACAAGAACTCCAGGCACGAGGTTGAAGATCGTGAAAAGCCATGTCAAGAAGTGTTTGGCCACTTCGTTCGCCAAGGGGGGGGGGCTTATCGGCCCCTGGGACCAACCGCAAACAACTCGGGACGAAAAGCTGGTCCCCCCCCCCGGGAAGGAGTCCAGACTTCTTGGGAGCCACGTCGTGAAAGAAACAATCACGCCGTGGGACGTCTGGGGTCGAGGATCGAAGAGAAGGGATGAGCAAAGAAGAGGAGGGGGAGGGGGAGGAGAAGGAGGAGGAAGAGGAGCAGGAGGAGGAGAGGAGGAGGAGAAAGGACGGGGGAGGTGGACGAAGGAGGAGGGAGGCAAAGGAAGGAGCACAAAATCGAGATCGACCGAGGATCGGGAGGGCGGAGGGAGGAGCACGCCAACAGGATGTCTATCATCGCTCGCCGCCCTCCGACGACGACGACGACGACGACGACGACGACGGCGTCGGCGGAGGCACCGAAGAACACGCTGGGCAGCAGCGCGTCCTCCTGGGCCGCGACCTGCGGCGCGACGGTCCGCCCCCACCCCCCCCTCCCCATCCACCCTCCGTCCATCCTCCGTCATACTCGTCCCGTCCTCGAATCGGTCCCTCCTCCCTCCCTGCGTCCCTCCGCCTCGTCCCGCTCGTCGTCCTGCGGCAGCCGTGCTCCTCCCGCCTCCTCCGGTTCCTCCTGCTCCACCCGTCCTCTCACTACTCCTCCTCTCCTACTCCTCCTCCTCCTCCTCGTCTTCGTCTTCGTTCCTCGTCCTCCTCCTCCTCCTCCTCCTCCCCGTCCTCCTGCCCATCCACCCTCCTCCTCCCTCCTCCTTGCGTCCGTCATCATCCCTCCGCCGTCCTCCCCCATGTCAAAACCCACCAGCCCTCTAGGGCGTAGGTGGTTTAGGGTCTTTCCTCTTCCACCCCCTTCTTCCCCTTCGCGGAGGGGTTGATCCCTCTCCCCTGGACCTGGACGGAACGTTTCGCGAGCGGTCGGAGCGTCCAAAACGGCCTCGGCGAGGAAGCCAAAATCACTGGTTCTACGAAGGTTTTGGCCTCATTTGGGCCCCTTGGGGGGGCGGCGCTAATTCGGACACCCCCTTATTTGATCGATCTCCTACGAGATGGCCCCAAGAGCGCTCGCACGGCTTCCCAAGGGAGCCCCAAGAGGGCACCAAGAGGTGGCCAGGAGGCCCCAAGATAGCCCCCTAGAGGCCCCCAGGATGCCGGCAAGAGGCTCCCAAGACACCCCCAAGAAACCCCAAGATGCCCCCCCAGAGGCACCCAAGACGCTCCAAGAGGCCTCGGCGAGAATGCCAAAATCATTGATTATACTACGATGTTGGCCACATGTTGGTCTCCTGGGGGGGGGCACTGCTTAAGATGAGTCCAAGATCGCCTGGGAGAGCCCAAGATGACCTCCAGGATGGCTCAAGATATCCCAAGATGCCGCGAGATGGCTCCCACGATGCTCCAAGAGGCCCCAAGACCGCTCCAAGACTGCTCCAAGTGGCCAAGGGGCTCCCCCAGGAAGCCCCGAAGAGGCCAAACTGTTTTTGGCGTTCTCGCCCTTTCGCTTCCGATGGCCATCCGAGGCTTCAAGATGGTTCCAAGATGGCCCAAGAGGGCTCCAAGAGCGCTCCCAAGGCTCCCAAGAGCGCTTCAAGAGAGCGCCAAGAGGCGCCCAGGAGGCCCCAACAGACGCCCAAGAGGCCTCCAAGTGGCTCCCAAGAGACCCCCAAGAGGCCCCAAGAAGCTCTCCGAGGCACCCAAGACGCTCTAAGAGTCTGGGACCGCCAAGAGGCCCCCAAAACGCTCAAAGAGGCCTCCACTGGGAGACCCTTCCTCTGTGTGCTGCCCACTCCCCTGATCCAGGCGATCCCTCTGGGCATCGTTTCTGGGTAAGCTGGTGAGGTTACGCGAAGCGTCTAGAACTCATGATCCCCATCCTTCCCCGACTTCTCCGCGAGTGCTTCTGCACGGAAGCCCCCGAATCGCTTCGGTATCGGGGGTGGTCGGTCCGCTCGCTGCGCGCATGGCAGCAGAGCGCCGCTGATCTAGTCATACATTTACCACCGTCGACACCCGCATCAACATCATCACTACTAACTACAGCAGCACCAGATGCAGCAGCACCAGCATCGGCAACGGCATCGGCATCCACTTCCTCCTCCTCCTCCTCCTCCTGCTCCTGCTCCTCCCCGTCCTCTTCCTCCTCCTCAGCATCATCATAATAATCGGCATCGTCATCATCAGCATCAGCATCATAAGTATCAACATCATCATCAGCAGCATCATAATCCGCATCATCATCACAATCATAAGCATCATCATCAGCAGCAGCCTCATCACCATCAGCAACGTACTCAGCATCATCAGCAGCAGCAGCAGCATCAGCATCAGCATAATCATCAGCATCAGCATCACCAGCATCATCATCACCAGCACCAGCATCATCATCAGCACCAGCATCAACAACCTAGCCAAAACCGTCAGCATCACCATCAACAGCAAAGACACTATACACGTCGCAATCACTGTCCCACTTTTCACCATGACTCCATCACCTGCATCAGCTGCAACATCATCACCGTCATCAGTATCAACTTCACCATCCTCGTCATCAGCGTCATAATTATCGTCGAAATCACCATAATCATCCACAGCATCCGCATCCGCATGCACATCATGGTAACCACGGTCGTGACAACCATCGCATTCGACATCATCGACTGTGTCACCAGCATCGCAACCATCGTCATCATCATCGTCCGCAGCACCATCAGCACAATCACCACCGTCAGCATCATCAGCAACAGTATCATCATCAATATCCGCAAAATCATCCTAATGAGCATCAGCAGCCGCATCATCAGCATAATCAGCATCATCACACTCAGCATCATCTTCATCACCAGCATCATCAGCATCCTCATCAGCAGCATCATCAAGATCAGCATCCTAGCCATCGCCATACCAACCTTTATCAACAGTTCTATCTGTCTGACCGTCCATCCAATCATGTCTCCTGCCTCTCCCAGGTCCCTCTGTTCATAAAGATATCCACCCTCGTCCTCCCCTTCCCCGCCCCGCTGGATGGTTCCTACCTCCTGGTCCTCGTACCTGGTGTTCCCCCCCCACACACACACACACACACACACACACACACACACACACACGCCTGCACCTCGTCCTCCCCCCCGCCTCTTCTTTCTCGTCCTCCTCGTCCTCCTCCTCATCCTCCTCATCCTCCTCATATGCCTGATCCCCCTCCTCCTCATCATCGTCCTCCTCCTCGCATCCGTCGTCGTTCTGCATGCCATCGACCCGTTCCGCCTCCCCCTCCTCATCATCAATCCCATGATTCAAACCATGGCCCTCCCCGTGATCACCCCACACTTCAACATCCTCAGGTCCTTCACCCTCGTCCTCCTCATCCGCCTCCTCCTCCTCCTCCTCCGCCGCCGCCTCCTCCTGCTCCGTCGCCTCAACCTCCCCCAACTCCATGCCCCATCCGTACGTGCTCCCGCACGCGTGTGCATCCTCATCCTCATCATCCCCTCTCCCGCACGACCTCAGCCTTCCCGTCCGCCCTCCCTACTCCCCCGCCACCTCCAATTCCCCTTGCTCCTCGTTATCTGTATTTCCTGTGGCCCTCCTCGTCCAGTCGGCCGGCCTCCTCGTCCTCCTCCTCCTCCTCCGCCCCCCCTCCCTCCCTCTCTCCCTCCCTCCCTCATCCTCCTCCTACATCTCCTCCTGAATTTTCTCCTCCTCCTCCTCACCCTCCTCCGCCTCCACATCCTCGTGCCCCTCATCTGTCTCACCACCCTCCGTGCCCCTCTCAGCCTTATCATCATCCTCCTCATCCCCCGAATCCCCCTCCTCATCATCCTCCTCCTCATCCTCATCCGCCGCATTCGCCTCCTCCTCCCCCTCCTCCTCCTCTTTGGCCTTCTCGTCTACCTCCTCCTCCTCCTCCTCATCATCATTCGCCTGCTCGTCATCCTCCCCCGCCTGCTCCTCCTCCCCATCCGCCTCCTCATCCTCCTCCTCCTCCCCCTCCTCCTCCTCCACAGCCTCCTCCTCCTCACGTTCCTAATCCCCCGCCTCATCCTCCTCCTCTCCCTCATCCTCGTCATCGGTCCGCTCCTCCTCGTCATCGGTCCGCTCCTCCGTCTCCTCCGACCCGTCATCATGCACCTCCTCCTCCTCCTCCTCATCATCATCCTCCTCCTCCTCGTCCTCCTCCTCCTCCCCCTCCTCCTCCTCATCCTCCTCCTCCTCATCCTGCTCGTCCTGCTCCACATCCTGCTCCCTCCTCTCCTCCTCCTCCTCCTCCTCCTCCTCCTCCTCCTCACCTCCCCCTCCTCCTCCTCCTCATCCTCCCCCTCCTCCTCCTCCGCTCCTAACTCCTCCTCCCCCGCCTCCTCCTCCTCCTCCTCCTCCTCCTCCTCCTCCTCCTCCTCTTCCTCCTCCCATTCCTCGTCATCCTCTTCGCATCCTCGTCCTCCTCTTCCTCCTCCTTCTCCTCCTCCTCCTCCTCCTCATCATCATCATCATCAGCAGCATCAGCATCATCATCATCATCATCATCATCATCATCATCATCATCATCAGCATCATCATCAGCAGCAGCAGCAGCCACATCAGCATCATCATCAGCATCATCAGCATCAGCAGCAGCAGCGACAGCAACATCAGCATCATCATCATCAGCAGAAGCATCATCATCATCATCGTCAGCATCACCAACAGCAACATCAGCATCAACACCATACTAATCAACATCATCAACATCAGCATCATCATCACCATCAACATCAGCATCATCATCAGTATCATCACCATCAGCATCGTCAGCAGCATCAGCATCGTCATCAGCAGTAGCACCCGCATCATCATCAGCATCATCAGCAACAGCAGCATCAGCATCAGCATCAGCATCAGCAACATGGTCATCATCATCAGCAGCATCATCAAAATCAACATCACCATCATCATAATCAGCATCATTATCATCATCAGCATCATCATCATACGCATCATCATCGTCATCGTCATCATCATCTTCATCATCTTCTTCTTCATCCCCCACCTCCTCCTCCTCCTCCGTTTCCCAATCCGTCTCCTCATTGTTCTCTTTCCCATCCCCCTCCCCATCCACCCTCCTCCTCCTCCGCCTCCTCCTCCTCCTCACAGTCCTCCTCTTCCTCCTCCTCCTCCTCCTCCTCCTCCTCCTGCTCCTCCTGCTCTTCCTCTTCCTCCTCCTCTGCGTCCTCCTCCTCCTCCTGCTCCTCCTCCTCCTCCGCATCCTCCTCCCCGTCCTTCTCCTCCTCATCCTCCTCCTCCTCCTCCTCCTCCTCCCCAGCGCGTCCCCCCTCCTTATTCTCCTCATCCTCCTCTTCCTCCTCCTCCTCCTGATCCTCCTCCTCCTCATCATCAGCATAAGCATCATCATCGTCAGCATCATCATCAGCAGCATCATCGTCAGCATCATCAGCCACATCATCAGCATAATCGGCA